TGTGGCTCATGGGATGGCAGGAGAATACTGCTCCTAATTAGGGCAGGGCTAGATGTGCGGAGGGCTAGGGAGGTACCAGCTGTCTGGAGACATGAACCCTTCCAAACAGGCCCAGTGTTGACCTTCCTGTGGTGCATCATTCAAGCTTGCAGATTAAGAATGAGTGGCTAGGGTTTCATATTAACTGGAGTCGTGTGTATGTGTGTGTGTGTGTGTGTGTGTGTGTGTGTATGTGTGTTGGGGAGAAAGAGAGAGGACAGAGAGAGATAGGGAAGAAGAGAGAGGGAAGTAGTGGACTGCCCAGGGAAGGCAGCTGTCATAATTTCAAAGTATGCATGGAAATTGTGGGTTATTAGCAAAAACTGGCTAGATTATTCATGCTCAAATGACATTTATTCCTGATTATTCAGGTAGTTACTGGCTAATTTATAAATCTCCTGCTTTTAGGTAAGTTTTTAAAACGGGAACAGTGAGTTCTATCTGGGATTTCCTTGAGCAGACCAGGGTCCCAGCCCACTTTGCTCTCTTCAGCAAGCACTGTGGAAGCAACTGCTCGGTGCCCCGCCTGCCAGGTGATGTGGGAAGCAGAAGGAACATTATTCCTGCCCTGGCCAAAACTTAGCTTGTTGAAGGGGCAAGACTTACACAAGCAAAACAAATTTGGGGAAAGTAAAAGACTGGTTTCAGAGAAGTACTGCGGTTTTGTGGCCCCAGAGGGACATGCACTGTAGCATAGGGAGCTCTGGTTGTAGCTCCTGCAGAACGCTGTGCTCTGGGGGCTGCATGCCTAGAGGAGAAGTCCCCAGGGAATGTGCCAGTTTGTACAGGAACACTTCATGCAGGTAGTCGTTATCTGAGCTCCATTCGTGGGGGATTTGGATCAAGTCTGCGACATGACACCTGGCTGCTTGGAGACTCCCCATCAGGGACCTCGTGCTGGGGGAGCTGTCCACTTGCTGCTTGACACAAAAGTCAAGCTCTAGTCTTGTTCCTGTGCAAAGTGCGGAAGTATCACCCACCTTTGTGTAACAGGAGGGGTGGGGTGTGTAAAGCCCCACATGCTGCAGTGGTGGTTTTTATTGGCTGCAAAATCATGTAGCCAAAAAGAAGTTGGACTCCATGCCCTTCACGTTTCTGACCCCTGCCCAGTGTCTGCCTGCTGTTAGAGTCCCCTTTGTCTCAGCATCTGTCTCCCCTGGCTCTCACCTGCTCTCTGCAGTCTCCCTCCCAGCTAATCCCCCGAGGTCTTTCCTCACCTCGGATTCCCAGACCAGCCCTTTGATCCCATGGCTTTGGTGGGAATGCACGTGCATTTCTTCAGAGCTGAAATCTCCAGCCCTGTTCTCACTTGTAAGCCCAGGTCCTGACCTCTCTGAATGTCCTACAGGCTCACAGATCCACCTTGGCTTCCTCTGCGCTCTCCCAGGTGGAGGCAGGCCCCGCACACGGTCTGTGCTGCCATCACTGCTCCCCAGGGCTGTCATTCCCTGCTCAAATGCTGCTGGAATCTGTCCTCATTTCTATTCCCACCACAGATTCCCTTGCCCACACCCTTATTCACTCTTGCCACATCTAGTATTTCAAAATATTTAGAATTACATACGTATGTATTTAGCAACAGAACTCCTCCTTCTTGTGCCCCAAAGAACTCTTGTAAGTCTAAGAAATAAGGTTTAAATAGTGCAGCTGTTCTCGTTGTGGTTGGTTTGTGGGCTTCTTTCTTTCTCTGCCAGGGAGTCCTGCCCATCACCTGCTCCATGGCTCCCCCACAAGGGCCCCCAGGCCCCCAAACCCCCTGACACTAGGACCGCAAAGAGAATGGCATGAGCAGCACACCAACCCTCTCATGACAGCCTCCTGAGCCATCTCCTGGTTTATTCTTCACCTAGAGGTATTTCTCTAAAACCCAGATCTGATAAGGCTCAGAATCCCCTTGATAATTTCTCACAGTTCATAGAATAAAGCCGGAATTCCCTCAGTCTGACCCCAGATCACCCTTTCTTCTTCACATTCCTCCAGTTACCCTCATGCGCCGTGTGTGGTGCAGTGTGCAGGCTCACTTGGAATTCCCCCCTCTGGGGGCACCACAAGCCTCCATATGCTGCTCCTGCTGTTGCTTGTGCCAGGAATACTGTTCCCTGTGCTTCTCTTTCTGGGGAAAGGTTGTGTATTCTCAGGTCTCAGTTACATGTTGTCACCTCCATGAAACCTTTCTTGAACTTTCTTCTCATCACATACAATCGGTCGCTCCTCTCTGCTCCTACAACATTCTCTTTATACTTCAGAAATTTTAATTTCACTTATCTCATCGCATTGTAGTCACACTAAGAGCAGAGACAATGTCCTATTTATTTTCAAATCCTCAGAGCAGTCAGCCCAGTACCAGAATACAGCAGGGTTCCATTCCATGTTTGTTAAGTAAACAACTGAACCAGCAAATGCATGAATTTGCCATGTTGTTAAGGCCCATATGGGCAGGGCACCAAGGCATCATGTGCCTTCCCTTTCATCGGCTCTTTGTTCTTAAGAAGAGCCAGGCTGTGGGCTCCCTGTGTCTTGCCTTTGCAGTGTCAGGCAGCCTAGGTGACAGAGCAGTTCTGAGAACAGTGTGGCTAAGCTGTGTCTGGTTCCCCTTGGGTTTCCCACTTCCCCATCCCTCTGATCGCTTGGTCCAGGCACAGAACCCACACCGCTGAACTGAAGCTAGAGGGATTTCAGGACCACTGAGCTAGTGTTCAGCCGCTCAGCCTCTGCCACGCTTGGGTAGCTGGGCTGCAGCTGTCCTTGCTTCCAAGATGCCATCTCTACTTGGGCTCCAGTTTTCACAAGTGGGCCCCAGTTATCTCTCGCAAGTATGAGTCTCAGCTAGTAGCCTGACCTGTACCCCATTGCCCAAGTGCTGGGGGCTCTCCCCTTCAGGTGCTGCCGAAGCCCATTTTGGTGACTGGCATTTGCTCCCTGTCGTGACATTTCCTTAGTGTCAACTGAGTATCCCATGTTTGTTTAATTCTTAACATTTACCTTCAGCCCACCTGTCGGTTACTCTCAGCCCTCCTTCCCAGGTGCCGCTTACCTGGGTGTCTTCTGCCTGTGCTCATTCTGTCATGTCACACCTGCATGAGTATTTGCTGCTCCGTGGCCATGGGGCATTCCAGGTCTGTCTCAGAGAACAACATCACTCACCTTCAGGTGAATAAGCCAGAGAGCTTCTACCTTCTTAATATTCCTGAACACTGCACACTTTTCTTCATACGATCATTCTAATTCTGAGACATATTGTATCTCATCTGAGTTACCACTGTTGCATCCTAAGGAATCTCTCAAATCTGCTCATGACCCCTTAAAGCATTCTCCACACATTAGCCAAAAATATCTTTAAAGAGGTAATTCTATTCATGTCACATCACAGTCCTGCTTAACACCTTTCCATATCTTACCTTGCTCTTAAGAGTAAAGAACACATGTCTGAGGAATGTCAGAAAACAGCCCACGGAGCTATGCATATCTGGCCCTAGATGCCTCTTGGCTTCAGTCTCTGGTCAATGTCCTTTCTTGTAATGTGTGCATCCTGTTTCCTCCTACCCAGGGCCTTTGAATGTGTTGTTGCCATTGCCTGGAGCTCTGTGCTTCTCTTTCACCCTAAAGCTCAAGCACCCCATTGTCATGATGCCTACTGATGCCTATCCTCACTGACTCTCCTGGCTCCCTGACTTCCCCCTGGATAGTGCTTATCAGTTTTTAGATATATAGTCATGTGATCACCCATTTGTGTGTTCCCATTCCTAGACTCTTGTGAGGTCCACGGACAGGGATCATGTCTCTTTTGTTCACAATTTTATTGAGCCCTGTGATTAACATGGAGTTGGTGCTTCATACATATTATTAGATGAAGGGAATAGCCCAGCATGACCTACCTGTCCAGCCCCACAGAAGTTAGCCGGGCTGTGTGGAGGCATGTCCTAGGTATGATGCTGTGGATAAAATGAAGGTTCCTGTGGCCAGGATTCTCACCTGGCCATGGTTGGCTAGCTCACTACACATGTGGAGGCAATATATTGTTATTGACTTAAAGAGCTCTGCCCAGTGCTCTGGGCAATATGGTGGCATGGCTGCTAGGCTGCAGGAGAGCAGAGCAGAGGCTGGAGTGGTGGCAGCGCCGGGGACAGAGACTGGGATGGCTGTGGGGGACAGAGAGAGGCCCAGAGGACGGCTGTGCGGGCAGAGAGGCCTAGAGGCAGGGACTGGCTTGCTGCATGCAGACTTGCTCTGACTGGATAGGATTCTAGTGACTGACCCTCCACTGTGGAAGTAAAGTTGGGTATAACCCTTTCACCCCAAGAACGTTCTACTGTCATTTCTTTGGTCACACTGAATCCATAGTGAACTTGCCTGGGGCTGAAACCCATTGGCAAGACAGATGCCATGCCACTCATGGGGCCATTCATGGGTACCACCTTGTAAAGGGAAACTCATAAAACAAAATACTAAAATGCATACTCAACATCCCGCATTGTTTATTGGAAGTATTTGGATATGCATATTTATTATTTCGTTTTCTTGTAAGGAATTCGATAGATATTACATACCATGTGCTTCCTTGAATTCAGAGCCAGTAAAAAGTTCATCTCTTAATGTTATCTATTTTCTTCTCTTAGTTACACAAGAATTCTATTCCCCATTGGATTTCTTTTTTTGTCTTAGCTGCTATGGTACTCAGTGCTATTTTTCTTGTAAACATAGCAAAATTACTTCTGCCCAGGTGTCTGGTTCCATCTATTCTTTGCTGTTTTTAAAGTGATTTTAAAAATTGTTCTATTGCATTATACTTGATTACTAGAGATCATTCAGACCTTTTTGTTAGAAATGTATATATTTAAATATTATATTATAGGTTATATACTAATATATTACTTATATGTTACATTCATATGATGTATATATTATATATGTTATATATAATACAAGTCCTTATACTTCCTTTCCTTTATTTAATGCCGTAGTGCTAGCAATCCATATCCTTCATTTGGAGCAACACTGGCGAGGGATGATGAAAAGAACTTGTGGAGTACTCCTCATGACGTGTCCCATACAGAGGCAGATGACGACAGAACCCTGTACAATTTAATAGTCGTTCGTAATCAGCAGGCCAAAGATTCAGAGGTAAGCAGCTTTTGACATCTTGCTGTGTGTAGATGACAGTGTCCAGTCAAAAACAGCAATGAATGGGAAGACCAGCTTGAAATCAAGAGAGGAATGAAGGATGAGATGCTTCAAATGAAGGGCAGGTATTTTAGCAGCATATCCCTGCTAATTATAGCTTATCTTGGTAGACCTGCTTGATAAACAGATAAGACTGACTTCTAATTATTACCTTAATGATACAAGTCACAGTAGTCCAGAAACAGCAAGGCAGTGCTGTTGAAGATCGTGAAGATTGTTTATCATCTTAAATGGTTTAACCAGTCCTTCTTTAATCTTTCCAGTCATTTAGCAAACCAGTTAGACGATCCAGACTGAAATTGAAGGGTACTTTGCATTATCATTAATTCTGAATGAGTGGGGTCTGAATTAGTTTAATTTTTTCTGTGTATAGCTTCTTAAATTACGCCTGCTGATCAGACAGCAGCATTTCTGCCATATTTGAGATGATTTTTGTGATAAGGCTTGGAACCACTCTTTTTTCTGGTAGTAGCAATGTTTTTATTAATGGACTATTTTTTGGAGCAGTTTTAGGTTTATAGAGGACTAGAACAGAAGGTACAGACCACCTCCACTACCCACCATGTCCCCTCCTCTTAATATTTGCATTAGGTTAGTACATTTGTTACAGCCAATATTGATACTTATAATTAGCTAAAGTCCATAGTTTACATTAAGGTTCACTCTTCACAGTATACAGTATATGTTTTGACAAATGGATAATGGCAGGTGTGGAAACTGCTCTTCATGGACTTATCCAAAGTGACTGATGTGGGAACACTAGAATATTGAAAAGGAGAGGACTTATTAAGTTAAGAGAAAACAGCAAAGGGGATCATGTGTTATTTTCTCCTACATTTTTAAAGCAGTGTTACAGTACTATGTAGATACAATATAGTATAGTATTATGGGTATCATTTTCCAAATAATACAACCTAAGCTTTCTAACTTCTGTGTTCAGCAGTTAGTTCTGAGTAGATACCTGTGTGAAGTACAGACTACATATTTTATTTTGTATCTTATAGTAATTGAGAAGAATAGGGGTATTTAAACCCCAGGCTCTGGCTCTGAAGAAAAACTCAGGAGAGAGAGAGAGAGAGAGAGAGAGAGAGAGAGTGTGTGTGTGTTTATGTGTGTGTGGTGGGGTGTTGTGGGGAGGCAGCTATGGGAGGGTCCTCTCTTCCTTCTCTTTGTTTCTTTATTTTTGCTATTTAATTCCTAACTATATTTTCCCTAGAAAAGTGCTTTAGCAGGAGGTAATAGCTTTTATTTTTATTTATTTATTTATATTTTGTGGTATCATTAGTATACAATTACATGAGCAACATTTTGGTTACTAGATTCCCCCCATTATCAGGTCCCCACCACATACCCATTATAGTTACTGTCCATCAGCGTAGTAAGATGTTATAGAGTCACTACTTGTCTTCTCTGTGCTATACTGCCTTCCCCGTGCCCCTGACCCTACATTATGTGTGTTAATCGTAAAGCCCCTTATTCCCCTTATCCCTCCCTTCTCACCCTACCTCCCCAGTCCCTTTTCCTTTGGTAACTGTTACTCCATTCTTGGGTTCTATGAGTTTGCTGCTGTTTTGTTCCTCCACTTTTTTCTTTGTTCTTATACTTCACAGATGAGTGAAGTCATTTGGTACTTGTCTTTCTCTGCCTGGCTTATTTCACTGAGCATAATAGCCTCTAGCTCCATCCATGTTGTCCATGTTGTTGTGGATGGTAGGATTTGTTTTCTTATGTCTGAGTAATATTCCATTGTGTATATGTACCACATCTTCTTTATCCATTCATCTACTGATGGACACTTAGGTTGCTTCCATTTCTTGGCTATTGTAAATAGTGCTGCGATAAACATAGGGGTGTATGTATCTTTTTCAAACTGGGCTCCTGCATTCTTAGGGTAAATTCCTAGGAGTGGAATTCCTGGGTCAAATGGTATTTCTATTTTGAGTTTTTTGAAGAGCCTCCATACTGCTTTCCACAATGGTTGAACTAATTTACATTCCCACCAGCATTCTAGGATGGTTCCCCTTTCTCCACATCCTCGCCAACATTTGTTGTTGTTTGTCTTTTGAATGTTGGCCATCCTAACTGGTGTGAGGTGATATCTGGTTGTGGTATTAATTTGCATTTCTCTGATGATTAGTGATGTGGAGCATCTTTTCATGTGTCTGTTGGCCATCTGAATTTCTTCTTTGGAGAAGTGTCTGTTCAGATCCTCTGCCCATTTTTTAATTGGATTATTTGCTTTTTGTTTGTTGAGGCATGTGAGCTCTTTAGGGTAACTAAACCCCTTATCAGATGTGTCATTTATGAATATATTCTCCCATACTGTAGGATGCCTTTTTGTTCTACTGATGGTGTCCTTTGCTGTACAGAAGCTTTTTAATTTGATATAGTCCCACTTGTTCATTTTTGTTTTTGTTTCCATTGCCCAGGGAGATATGTTTATGAAGAAGTTGCTCATGTTTATATTCAGGAGAGTTGCCTATATTTTTTTCTAAGAGTTTTATGGTTTCATGACTTACATTCAGGTCTTTGATCCATTTCGAGTTTACTTTTGTGTATGGGGTTAGACAGTGATCCAGTTTCATTCTCTTACATGTAGCTGTCCAGTTTTGCCAACACCAGCTGTTGAAGAGGCTGTCATTTGCCCATTGTATATCCATGGCTCCTTTATCATTTATTAGTTGACCATATATGTTTGGGTTAATGTCCGGACTCTCTCTTCTGTTCCACTGATCGATGAGTCTGTTCTTGTTCCAGTACCAAATTGTCTTGATTACTGTGGCTTTGTAGTAGAGCTTGAAGTTGGGAAGTGAGATTTGCCCTGCTTTATTCTTCTTTCTCAGGATTGCTTTGGCTATTCAGGGTCTTCTTTGGTTCCATATGAATTTTAGAATATTTGTTCCAGTTCGTTGAAGAATGCTGTCGGTATTTTGATAGGGATTGCATTGAATCTGTTCATTGCTTTAAGCAGGATGGCCATTTTGACAATATTAATTCTTCCTACCCAAGAGCATGGGATGAATTTCCATTTATTAGTATCCTCTTTAATTTCTCATAAGAGTGTCTTGTAGTTTTCAGGGTATAGGTCTTTCACTTCCTTGATTAGGTTTATTCCTAGGTATTTTATTCTTTTTGATGTAATTGTGAATGGAATTGTTTTCCTGATTTCTCTTTCTGCTAGTTCATTGTTAGTGTGTAGGAATGCAACAGATTTCTGTGTATTAATTTTGTATCCTGCAACTTTGCTGAATTCAGATATTAGTTCTAGTAGTTTTGGAGTGGATTCTTTAGGGGTTTTTATGTACAATATCATGTCATCTGCAAACAACCACAGTTTGGCTTCTTCCTTACCAGTCTGGATGTCTTTTATTTCTTTGTTTTGTCTGAATGCTGTGGCTAGGACCTCCTGTACTATGTTGAATAAATGTGGGGAGAGTAGGCACCCATGTCTTGTTCCTGATCTTACAGGAAAAGCTTTCAGCTTCTCGCTTTTAAGTATGATATTGGCTGTTGGTTTGTCATATATGGCCTTTATTATGTTGAGGTTCTTGCCCTCTGTACCCATTTTGTTGAGAGTTTTTATCATGAGTGGATGTTGAATTTTGTTGAATGCTAGTTCAGCATCTATGGAGATGATCATGTGGTTTTTGTCCTTTTTATTGATGTGGTGGATGATGTTAAAGAAGATAATAGCTTTTAGAGATGCTATGTGTCCTTTTATTGTGTGGTGGCTTGGATACCTTTGAGGAATTAGAAATGGGCATGGAGATGGAGATCACAGGATGGGGAAGGGCTGACAGTTGCCTCTGGTTCTTGAGCCCTGGGGGAAGGGTGAGCTGGAGAGTCCCGCAGGGGCTGGTAGAGAGTGTCCTTTCCTGCATGTGGAATGCTGATGGGGAGAGCTTCTGCGTGGTGGCCAGCACAAGGTTTTACTTGGGCGTAGCCACCCACGAGGGGTGTTGCTCCGTGCTCTCCCTGGCTTTCCATGTTCCGAGTGGGATCCCTTCCTCCACTGGTAACACTTGAAGTGCATCAGAAAGCTGGCTTTGGCCTGGAACTGCAGCCCTGGCTGCCTTTCCTGTGCACGTGGACAGGAATGCATGACCTCACTTTCAGTGGAAAGATCCACTCCTTACTGTTCTTTGTTGGCTGACCAATCAGGGTATCAGCTGGTGAGAACAGAACTAGTTCTCTTTCTTTTTATTCTTCCCCCACTGTGCCCAAAACTGTAACAGTAATAGGGCAGTGATATATGGTAAGCACCTCACTCCCTCTCTCTGTGTCTGTCTGTCTCTTTCTCCAGCACCCCATTCAAATGTGAAGGGCCTTGAAGAGGTGTTTAGAGCTGAGCCTGGCAGCTCTCCCTGGAAGAGCTCTTGCCTCTCTGCCCTATTTGTCTTTACTTTTGAAAGGACAGTAGAGGAGGTAATATGAGCTGCAAAGCACTCTGAATAATCACAGCTTCCAAAGTGGTCTGTTGTGTCATTTTCTGCTGCTCTTGAACCTGATTGAAGGTCCATGCAGAAGGCTTTTTCTTCTCCTTACCCAAGAAATGAAGTCAAGCTTAGCTCTAGAGAAACTAGAGTAACCAAGTAACCAAGGCAGACAATCAAAAAAATAAGAAGATGTGATGATAATTATGCATGAAATGATCTGAAATAGCCTTGTTCATGGTGCTTCCTTTTAAGCATAAAGTATATATATACACACATACACACAGTTAATATGTAATAGTATTATTTGCATATATATAGTATAGGTACAAGACTTAAAAAAAAGTTTCCTATATTTTCTTCCAAAAATTTGAAATGTGTATAAAAGCACATATTAATATATCTATTCAGTTTCCTCAAAGATTTTGTCACTTTACATTACATCCTGTTTCGTACCTTGCCTTTTTTTTTACTTACTATATATTTCAGACATATTTCCATTTCAGT